AGACTGTCTACATGAACACAGACTGGTAACTCAGGGACTAGATCAAAGCTCGCGGATTGTAAATCATTATTTGCGTGCCGGGAGAAAATGTTTCAAGTAATACTGTTTCCATCACCTTGTCGGCAGACGCGGTAAACAGCAAGGGCCTATCATGGTAGCATTACCGGCTCTTCAGGATGTTCTCGTGAGTCTGTGGTCTCCTCCTCGTGTAACCCTTCGGATAAAGAGATTAAATGCGATGGGCTCCTCTGGCTTGCCGCAAACCCTCTCAACAGCCTGCCGGTCCCATCTTGTATTTCCCTTCGTCCCACGGACGACAGTTTTTCTTCTAAAAATCCCACAAATGACATTCCATCTTTTGAATTCTTAGCCGTGCCTTAGGAGTTTTTTTCACTGTCTGCTGGCTCGTATTAACTGATATCACCACATATGATTGTATTACTTGAAACAAATGAGTAGTTGCCTACAATTTTGCAAACGACCTCTTTTGAAATGCTCTGCTGTACCGATGCATTTATTCACTATTGTGTACCAATAGGGAGTTCAAAGACGTTTGCTTATATTTCCCATAATAAACTTTATTTGAAAGATTTCTGCACTTGTTCTGGAGTATGGGGCCTAGCGTTATCATCTTGCCACATCACATTCTCATGTTTCCATCATATCGTGATCTTTTATGTTTACTGCTCGATTCAAATTGATTAGCTGTCGTTGATAGCACTCAGCAGTACTAGTTGCAAGCAACTTCAGCTCATCCTGCTATCCCTTCCTTTTTAGTTTCACCAGGTGCCCATTATAATTTTGCTTCCATGAATTTTATGTTTTGGTGTTTAGTCTGAGGGTTGGTAAGACGTGTTCTGGTTCTTTTTTGGCGTTCTGGATCATCGTGTCAAATCCATTTTTAAAGCTTCTTTTCCTAGTACAATTTTGAAGAGTGTGTAGGCAGAAAACTTTATTGGATCCATTAATTTCGAAAGTGCTCATAAGTTGCTCCCTTTCGTTGCATAACGTGAATAATGTAAGAAAAAATACAAACTGAATTCATGCAGAAAAAATCGATACAAACAGCAAGGTCATAGGAAATGGCCAAGAGTCTAATCAATAACCTAAGAAAGTTTAAACGTTGTGGGCAGCAAAAACGGGGAAAAGACGTCTAAGGCAAAAAGTTGGGAAGGGGAATGTGTAAACTGGGAGCCGGTGTTACCACGGCAGAGTTAGGTTCACGCATGCTTCAGCTGTTTACACAATTCGGGTTTGAACCGCCGTATGTAGACTGCCTCCAGGTAGCGTAAGGTACGAGTTGTTTGTGCCCGAACAAGTACTCGGAAAGAAATTTTGGGGTCCACAGAATGGCCCGTGGCCAGCAGATACTCAGTAATTGATAAAAGGGGG